CCACTTTAAGATCATTAAAGGTGTGTGTGTGTGTGTGTGTGTAAATTTATAATAACAAATCACTGTTTCATTGACATATCTTAATATTTTGAATGTTTACATATAAATGTCAGTTATGTACAGTGTATACTTTTTTTTTTTTTTTTAAATCCAAACAGGATCTCAGCAAAAGTCCGAAAACCATGAAAAAACTGTTGCCTAAGCGAAAACCAGAACGGAAACCATCAGAAGAAGAATTTGCTCTGAGAAAAAGTAAGTATACTTTGGAGGGGTGAGAGAGAAAATTGCAGTTATTTTTTGTACACTATGCATCATGGTAATCTAACACATGAATTATTTGTTTTATTAAGTCCTGTAATATGGCTGTATATACCATTTCCTATCTGTATATTCCATTTCATATGACATAACAAGATAGATCTTGTTATGTCCTGTAATATGACTGCATATCCCAACAAGATAGATCTTGTTATGTCATAGGAAATGGGATATACAGATAGGAAATGGGATATACAGATAGGAAATGGGATATGCAGTCATATTACAGGACTTAATAAAAGAAAAATTCAAATGTATTAGATTAGATTAGATAGATCTTGTTATGTCAAAAAAACCTTTATTTACTATTATAGGAATATACGTATTTGATTTCATTCAGAATATCTAAAATGAATAGTTTGATTTTATTTATTGCAATGTCTAATATTACAATACCTAATATTCCATTTATTGTCTTCTTTCTCCCTCAATGTAGTATGCCCTTCCATGAAATTGTTGCTAACAAATGAAAAAGATTCATTCTCTTTTATAAATCTAGGGATAACATTCAAAAGATCCTTAGATGTTAAACTCCAATAAATTAGTATCGACTAGTAAAAAGTAAAATTTGATGGGCAAAATTTAAAATTACTTAATTCAGGATTAGTTGAATAAAACAGCTATACTTTTATAGCCAGAAAGGAGTTAATTCTTCTAAACAGGACTGTTTTAATCTAAAAGTTCTTAGGGGAAGTGGACAATGATCAGTGGTCTATGGAGAATCTCAATCATCCAGGTCATGGTTGTCTCAGAGGTGCTTTTTATCTGTATTCCTCAGAGTCACATGAATCAGAGCAGTCCCAAGAAGGTTCCATGCCCATTTACACTCTGATTCAGGTGACTCTGAGGATACAGATAAAGCCCCAAGTGGCTTCAACTACTCTCAAGAGTACTAATGAGCAGATGGCTGCAAAGAATATAAATCCTTCTATTTCCTACCAATCATTTAGAATTGAAAAAAGCTTCTTGGTGAGAAGTGAAACACTCCCCGCAGAAAGTCCAGTTGCCTTCTTGAAAAAGCACCTTGGGGGAAAGGTTCAGTATTTAAAAACACCAATTAAAACTAAAGAGGGTTGCACAACTATAGAATCAGTTCTTCTCCCTCAGCTTTTGAGGAGTACATTAAACATTTATGGGCCCTGCAACAGTGGGATTCACTTAAGTTTACCACCGGTTCGCAAGCACGCTTGCGTCACATACGCCTTCCGTGCATGACTTTGCCCATGCGTGGAGCCTGCATATATGCATGTGGCATTGAAAATGAGGTTACAAAGGACTTTTGGAGCCGGGGTGGGTGGGCAGGCCGACCCGCAGTTCGCCGCTACCGGTTTGGGTGAATCGGTCCGAACCGACTGAATACCACTTCTAGGGCCCTGGACTTATCACCAGTAGGATTCCAGGAACAATTTACACTGCTATTTACAAATGGGAAAGCACTATGTGACTTAGTATTAAGATACTTCAGAATAGGCTTTTTCAGCCTATTCCTAGCTTCCATTCCTAGCTTCCATGAAATTAGGAAGAAGTTAAAGAATGTTTCTTCATCATTGGGCCCACACTATGGAATTTGACTTGTCCCAGTTCCTACAGCTTTTCAGAAGCTGGTTAAAACTGCTCTTCCGGAGTGTCCTACACGTAGTTAAGGTGATGTTATCTTAATTTTCTTTGTATAAAGTGTTCTGTTTTTAGATTGTGTGCCAACTGTAATTTGATTTCTGCTTATCTTTTACTCTGGATTTTTAAAAATCTTTTATGCCATGTGTAATTTATACTACCGAGAGTCTTATAGTTATTATTTAATAAACTAATAGGAATAACATAGCATTTTAATTTAATATCAACTCCCCCCCCAAGTTAAATTTAGTTTCCTAATTTGAAAAAAAAGAGAAGTAATAGATTTCTAAATTTCCTTAATTTAATTAAACAGTTATAAAATGGCTTACAGTGTCAAGATATAGAAAGCTACTATTGCTAAATCCAAAATCCTATCATCATCATTACTGTGATAAGACTTCAGAAACACCTATGATTACAGGTACTCCTTGAAATCAGCTGTCCTTTTTAGAAAGCATTTGAAGTTGTGATGGCACTGAAAAAGTAACTTTACAACTGATCCTTGCACTTACAACTGTTGCAGTATCCCTGGAGTCATATGATTTGGGCCTTTTGCTACCCGTGAGCCTTTGTGATTGTTGCAGCATCCTGCAGTCACATTATCACCCATTTGCACATTTTACAGCCAACTTCTGACAAGCAGAGTCAATAAAGAAGCCAGCAGTAAAATTGCAATTTGGGATCACATGATGTTTCAATTAATGACTGCATCACTATAAATCGTCAATCACAGTGTTTCTTTTGAGTGTCAGTATCCAGCATAATTGTAATGTTAAATTAATATCTTTTGGGTATTTCATAGGTACAGCAGCATTAGAAGAAGATGCTCAGATTCTAAAAGTCATTGAAGCTTATTGCACAAGTGCCAAAACACGTCAAACATTAAACTCAAGTAAGTTTTTTTAAAAATATGAATAGAAAAAATATCTTAGCCATCTAGCAATTGCTTACTAAATGTTGTTTTTATTGTTGTCAGTGGTTTGTATGGTCTGAAAAGTGAGGTGTAACTGATGAAAATAGTACATAAATAAATTCATTAGGAACTTGAGCAAATATGCATTTGCACTGATCCTTTGATCTTTTAGAAGTGCTTTGCGATTCCCAGATTTAGCAGTAAGAAATGTATGTGTTGGCAACACTGCTATGTCTTACTGAATTTCTTGAATAATACATGCTAACGATTTAGTTTTAGATGTTCATTTTTAGTGCAATCACCATCTCATTAAACCATTCAGTTGTACTTTACTGAAAGGTTATTAGGCTTTGTTGTTTACTTTTCTAATTAAAAAAAATGTTCTTGCAAACATTTTAATACCTAAGGCATAGTTTCTTTTTGGTTTAGAATTGGAGGCATTCTTTACTTGACAGTCAAAAAGGTAGGTACGCATTTTCTTGATCGGCTCACAAACACCACCATTTTTGTTGTGAGACAGCTGAATGAATGCCACTGTCAATATCATGCCTTTCCTTTTGTCCTATGAGCCAGATTTCAGACCATGTTCTTATGCAGTGACAGTGTTTCACAAGCATTTTCTTCTAATCTAGTGTTCTCCAGATTTGTTGAATGAATGTGCAGTATGATTACTGACACTGCTTTGGAAATGGGAACTGAATCCAGTAAATTTGGAGGACAACAGGTTGGGGAAGGCTTTTCTAGGACTTTCTTTCACCTCTCTACTGCACCATGGAATACATTGAGCAGTTTCTCTGGACTGAAAAAGAGGCCACTCCCACAGAAAATGAATAGAGCTCCTGATATTACATGGATAATGTTTCTGCTGAGAATATATGTCTTTTTTTTTTTTTTGCTGTAAAGTGAGAATCATCACTCTGAACATTTCTGGTCTAATTTAATGCTTATGTATAATAATTATGTATTCTTAATTTAATAGTAGTAAACATGGATGATAATGTCATCACAGAAGTTTCCAAACTCAACCCTAAATATGTGTTTACTAAGCAATATTTAAGTAAAGGTATTCTTTGAATGAAAATAAAATCTTAAGACTTATGCATGTAATTTTCTTAATGTAAATGTGGTTTCCTTTGCCTTCTTACAGGATTTTGCTTTTTTACTTTTAGGATCTTTCCTGGTTTTTCATTCAACTACTAACTGGATATGGCCTTGCTTAGTTTTTCAAAATTGGCCAGGGTTGCTGCTTAGCTAGACACATACAAATTTTCAAATAGTATAGATAGTGAATAAATCTTGCTTGACTGATTCGGTTGCTTTTAATTTATTTAAGCCAAATCTCTCTTATAAAATAAATATTAAATGCTTGATATGGTTCAATATGGTTTACCTTTTAAATGTTGTTTTTTAAAGTTCTTCTTAAACTAAGAATGATAGACCATTATTCTGGGAAATTTAGGCTTACTATGTATGAGCTCTGAGTCAGTGTCTTCCTGCTGAACATTTCTGAAATACTTTTATTTTATTATCTAATTTGAAAACTTGGCTTAGATTTTTTTTCATTCTGTGCAAACTAGAATTTCTAAACTGTTAACCCCTAATGTACAATTATGATCTGTATAAAAAACAGCACAACAAAGTTCAAGGGTTAATTAACATGCTTAATTGCAGATAGGCAACCTTCAAGTTACATAGTTCTGATAACATTTTGGAGGGTCAAGGAGCCCCCTCCCCCCACTTCCTTGTTGTCTTACTTTTACAGTTAGCAATGGTGAACCAACAATTTGGATCAGGCTCTGTCTGCATTGCAGTAGTGAATGTGTTCTTGTGGTTGTGTTTATACTGTATAAGAAAGGAGACATAACAGATATATCTCCAATTGTCTTCCAAGGATTCATCTGCCACCAGTGCAGCCTTTTATTCATTTATCTTTTTTTAGAAGTCCTAATCCTAAGCTTTGTACTAAACGAACAATTGTTGATTTATTTATCTGCTTACAGTAGTAGCCAGAATTGTGGAAACCTTTAGAGAAAAGTGTATTTTTGAGGTTTGATGGCTAATAACACCACTTTTTGGGAGTAGTACCATAACATTATATATCATTGGAAAGATAATTTAATCAACAATGTAATGCAACAAAGTTTGTTCAATTATCTGTATTCTATGAAAAGTCATAGCCAAATATAGGCAGAAATAAAACCCAGCTAATAGAAGCAATCGTTCAATCTTGGTTTCACATTTTAAATTATCTTTCCATTGATATATAATTATATGGTACTACTACAAAAGAAAGTGGTGTTATTCACCATCAAACCTCAAAAATACTGTACACTTTTCCCAAAAGGTTTCCACAATTTTAGCCACTACTGTAAGCTAGTAGGAGTAGCCAGGTGAGAGTGACCAACCATATTAATTAACACACGGCTCATTCATGGTAAGTCAGGGTTCCCCAAAATCTGGCTTACTGTGGTTGTTTCTATCAAAAATGGTAATGAGACATATGATAGAAAAATCTAATTATTACAAAAATTGCTTTTATTATAGTTATTAATAGTATCTTTTCATTCTATATTTTTAAACATTTTATATATTGAGCAAAGCTGCTATTTTCAGTGACTCAGATACATGCTCAACTTTCACTGTGTCTTGGGGACCCAGGTTATTTTAATCTTAAACAAGGCTGCAGTGGTGGAGATCCTCTCTTGTAAGTAAAGCATTGCACCTAATCGGATAATCTGCCCGCATGCGTAACCTGTACCTAAGGAATACTCTTCTTGATTTGAATCAGTTTGCACAGTTTTGCCATTAATGATGAAAGTGGTCGGCAGTTAAACCTATGTTTTCTTCAGGATAGTCAGTCGGTCTGTACAGGAAGAAATCAATATAGACACTGATAGGGTTTTTTTTTTTGTCCAATAAATCTCCTTAATGCTAATTTTGGTTTTCAATTTTAGATAATATGCATTGTAGACAATCATTTTTGTGCTAATATTTGACAGTTAACTGTCACATTCTTTTTTTATTTTTTAGAACATCACTTAAAGCTCTTTTGTGTATCCTGTGAATTGAATTTGACTTTTTAACAATAGGGTTAATTATTCTAGAACTACTTTTACTTTACTGAGGTTTTTTTCCTAGAACCTTAATAAAATATTTTGTATTGTTACAGAACCATAGGCACGCGTGATTGGTACTCATTGCTATAAAATTGTCACTGATTCTTTTATGTCTTCTTGTACGGGCCTTTTTATAATTCTCTTCTAAATCAGACATTATTATTTAATTTGATACTAGCCCTACAATTAACTGAAAGTTATTATGATTCTATAGATGACTGAACTGAGTGGGACAAGATGAATTGGTAATGCTTCAAATGGTACAACTGTGCTAAGTTGGTGCTTGTCATTTAAATATATATTTTATATACCAATATGTATAAGGTGAAAGAAGTCTTATGTGAGCATATTCTTTTTAGTTCATGCAAGTGTGTCCTTACTGAGACACAGAACTAGTGCAAAATGCTTTTTGCTGTTTTCCCCTTTCTATGTATATTTTATAAGTATACATAGTGCAAGAAATTTCATTGCATACATCCAAAAATCTACTGCTTTCATTTGTGTTTCTCTGCAATGGAAAATGATAATAGCAATTTGTTGCACGGCTTCTTTTTTCAAGATTGCTGATTTTGTTTAAACTATTATTTTTAAATTCTACTGCCATACAATTTAACAGAACTTCACAAAAGCAAGTGGAGTTGGCCTTGTACTTTGGGGAGGTTGGCTGGTTTGTATATAATAGTTAACTGTATTTTAAGAAATTGGGCATTGTAAATAAATTCATTATGAGTCCAGGAGATTAGATCATGTTTCAGTATCCTTTAGTGTCTCTTTACATCTGGGTTCACATTCTGCCTGATCCTCCAAGTGCAGATCTGGCAATTCTGCTAGTAGCATCATCCTTTTGCCATTTTGGAGGTGCTGCTAGGAAATGCAAATTCAGCATGACAGGGCAAATCATAAGAGGTAGGACAGAAGATGATATTTTTTAATTTTCATATAGAGAAACATTATTTGGAAAGTAAAATGGAAGAGAGATTTGGAGAGTAGTAGCAGATGGCTTTCCTTTCCTTTCATCTGTTTCTTGTTTAACTCTGTTCTAGCTTGACAACAAAGTTGTATGCAAAAGTTTAGGTAACGTGGTAAAACTGTGCAATTTGCTGAATCCCCAAGGGAACAGAAATTGATGCATCTAACTCTACTGAAGGAGGAAATGACATTTTTCTGTGAAATTGAATGTATCTGTACTATTTATGGGTACTTGTTTACTAACTCAGAATGAAAAAAGTGAATATGGCAAATGCAAAACTTGCTACACTCTTACTGTAAGTTTTCAAATGTGTGGAGTCAGCTAATACGCTTTGTTAATGCTTTAAGACTTCATTCTCACTGTTCCTTACATAACTTCTCTTGCTCAAAAGTTTTCTTAGGTCTCTTACATGGATTGCATGTTTGAGATTTTTTACTAAAGACACAGTATAGTATATAAATATTTATCTTCCTTTTCTGTGACTGCTTCTTGGTTGCTTTGGTGTAGATAAATGCATAGATAGCCTTGAAGAAGACACACAGAAGCAGTTAAGGAAAAATAAGACAAAACTGAACTCTGGGAAAGGAGAAAGTTTGGGAAGGAAACTCAACCCTATCTTGAGTCTGCTTGGTATAAAAGAGGCAGAAATAAATTCTGGCTGGATTTCAGCATTATGTCCTTTACAATAATAAGAAGCATCCAATAATTCATGCAATGCCTAATTCTTGACCTGGCCTCCCTTTATGGACAGAAAGTATGTTTTGGTGCATTTTCTTGCTAAATTATCCAATCTATTTTTACCTATGAAACGCTATACCGTGGTACCTTGGCACTCGGTAATTTATTCTGAAAGATGCAGTGAATACTAAAACCAACTGAGGAATACCAAAAAGCCATGTATCACGTGACCCACAATTTCAGCTGGAGGATAAGTGAGTCATGAAGGCACCTGATGTCAGTAGGTTCTTCCTTGTGCGTTGACTACTGGGCAAAAGATGAGTGATGGGACAAGATTTCTGTTTCAAAACACGTTGAATACCAAATTCAACAAGTTTTGAAGCAATCGAATGCTGAGGTGTCCCTGTACATATTACATTAGGCTACCAGAAATATTTGGAAGCTTTATTTCTGCCAAAGGCAGGTTACAAAACATGTCAGGAAAGACATCCAAACTCCGGTATCTGTCATATTCACTGTTCTATTTTAAATAGCAAAATACATTCAAATTTTCAGAGAGATGTCATTTTTAATTTTGTTCCATGGAGAGTTGTGTCAGCTTTAAGGAGTCATAGAATTGGAGAATGATGCTTAAACCTCTGCATATAACTGTATCTCTATGGGCCTTTTCACAAGATAAGAATATTCTGCTTCTTTGAACACAATCCACACATAATCTTTTCTGAGTTTCAACTTTTTGATTGGACAAGAGAAATACTTTTGCACGGGGAATATGCCATTCACTGCAATTAAAATGATCATATGGAATATGATTGCACATGCCACTAGTATCTTATTTTTAAAGAGATGTTACATTTTTTGGATTAAACTGCTTTGATTAGTTAATTGTATATTTAAGATTTTTATGTTAATTATCTATTTGAATCCTGTGCTATGGATCTCCAATACAGGAGAGCTTACATAGTATCTTGTAGTGGGCAAGTATAGCTCAACTTATTATTATTATTACATGGACATAACAGTATCCATCCATGTAATTGATCCTGGCAACAGTAGTGTTGTGTATTGCCTTCTTCTGAGATGATTTTGAGTATCTCAGAACCAAAAGCCTAGACTACTGGACGACTACTATGACGATATCCATTCAAAAATAACTAGTTAGTAGGGGCTACCCTATTACTTGTTCTATGAATTGTTTTCAGCTTTCCTATTCTTTCTTTCTTTCTCTCATGTAAATCTTCCCTGCACTTCTTGTTTTTGGTGTATTTGACTTTGTAAGGAAATAGGGATAGCTAATATCCATATTTTTTCTCCTGAAACAGGATGGTCTTTTTTTTTCTTCATTATATGTGGACAATATGTGTCTTCACTGAACAGATAATGTCAGGATTTCAATTATAGGCCTGTAAGTCTACTGTCGTGTGAAAAGGCCTTTATATAATTTTGAAAGGATTGGAAAAGCAGTAAGAAAATGCAATGCCATTAAGCTCAGTAGTAGCTTGTTCTAAATATCACAGTGAATTGGCTAGTTTTGTTTCACCCTTGCCCAACTCCATCTTCAACAGATGGTGAAATGGACATTTAGGGCAGTCTCATATGGCTCTGTTCACATATGCAGCCTATAGAAAGCTGGATTGAGAGCCTAAGGAGAATGAGGCAATTCTATGTGGTAAGCTACTTGGTGAGCAGATTTCCCCATGTAGCTTACAGTTTTAACTACTGCAAACCTTTGTTGAAGAATTCATATTAGTGTCACTAAAAACTGCAACTATATGGATAATGCCTGGGTATATCTATTTTGGACACTGATTGTATATGCAAATTGGTCCTAGGTGTCTTATGTTTTTATTTTCACTAAATTAAATTATTAGTTACTTTCATAAATAGTTTTCAGTTTCTCTGGGCATTTTTCAGTTTGAAAATTGTTTCTCTCATATTGGCACATTCTCTTTAAATTAAAAGTTCCTGAACAAGTTAATGTTTTTCTCCTGTGCTTCTGGTCTGGAATATTTCTATAAAAATAAGTACTCATGACAGTAATTTCTGATAGGGATTTTGTGTAGGATGGCAATATGCTAACAACTCCTAGTCACTAATTTCCTTTTTCATAAGGATATTTTTCTAGTCCCCTTAGGAAATTATACCAGATACAGATGTATAAAGAAAGCTATGATCAGAATTGGCTTATCAGGGGAAAATGTACTAAATATGGCTAGGTAGTATTTTTTCCCCAATCTGCACATTCTCCAAATGTATTGCATTCCCAATGTCTCAAGTTGCAAGTTGGAGAAAGTTCATACAGGCATTCTTGAGCAGATTTTTTTTTCTTCTGGAAATACCATCTAGCCCAACTTTAAGAATCGATTCAAAAGACTTTAAAAAAAATCCTAATGTAATAGGATCCTCCACTTTAAAAAACCCTTCATGTTACAGTCATGGTTTCTTAGAATATTAAAAGCAACATGAAAGCAAATGCACATTCTAAGCAAGAGAGTCCAATTCAGAGAGTTCCCTTTTTTTTGGTCTTTAAATGTATGTGCCAAATATATTTTGTAGATAAAACCCAACCAAAATAGGGATTTAAAAGATTTGGTGCTTTTTTAACAATATTTTCTCTTTTCCTTTTCTTCCCATCACCTTTTGCTTTTATTTTCATCTGTTTTGGTTGTGGCTTATCCTGTATGTCCTCCTCTTCATCACACCTCTGCCTGTCTCCATCCTCCCTTTCATTTCACCCATATGTCCTTAGCATGGCAAGGCACTGACCTGATGCATAATCACGTCTTGGCTGATGATGACCAATCCAGTCTAGATTCCTTGGGTCGTCGCAGTAGTCTTTCTCGTTTGGAGCCTTCCGACCTCTCTGAAGACTCTGACTATGACAGTATATGGACAGCTCATAGTTACAGAATGGGCTCTACATCTCGTAAGAGCTGTTGCTCCTATATCTCTCACCAGAACTAATGCACTTCTGAGCTTTTCTTAACAAATGCTTGTTGTATCACAGCTTGCTTTTCTTAGATGTTTTCTTGAAGTTCTTTGTCTCTTTTAATGTGATATTTTAACAATCTTTTGGAGAAACTTCTGACTTCAGCCACATCTTCTACATTTATGGTATCTTTTTATATTAAGATTCAAGTATTGGTATGTAGCTATGAATGGTTTACTCTTTTTAAGATTTCAGTATAGCTACAGCAGTTCTCCCCCCCCCCCACTCTGATTCTTGCAATATACTATATGCTTGTATCTTAAAACAGTACTTGTGCCATTCACATGAAAATTATTAAGCCTTACAGTGTTTAGGTTCATACATATTTTAAACAAAACAAATAACTTAAGAATAAACGAACCATAGTAGCTAAAAAAACCTCCCACCACAGAAACCAAAACTGCCAGAAATGAGAACATCATATTTTGATGTTTGTGATAAATGTCTAAGTTATTTTTTTAAACAACAAGCTATTAGTATATTAATTAGTATATTACTAATTAATACTGCCTCATTCTACCTACATTTCTTAAATTTTGGAAGAATCAAAAACTGAGCAAGTGAATTAAGCATGGAAAGCTTCAGGACTTCAAAGCACTGTTCTGAGAGCAAGTTGAGATTTGCTATGAGTTTTGCTAAGGTAAAGAAAGGATACATTCAAGAAATTGTGCAGCCAGCTCAACATAAAACAATGCACTAGAATATTTGCAAGTTTCTCTGAGCTGCAATAGTACATTGAACAGTAGCTGGCATGTTAAATATAGATTTTATGACATAAGTGTACAATAATAATTCATAGGTCACTTACTGTATTGTACTACAGGAGATAGGCCAATTTCTGTCTAAAGATAAGCAAGTTCCTTGAGGGGGAAAAGAAAGTTCCAACCATCCAGATTTTGGAAGTGCCAAAGTCATATGTTCCTACTGGCAATTTATGCCCATTCTGATAAAATTGAACAGTAGGGGTATATTTTCGTAGTTTGCTTTGTCATTGAAATGTAAATAAAACTGTATTAATTTCTCTATAAGCACACTTTTAAAAGCCATCCAAATTTCCATCAGTAATACTCTTGCAAAGTTTTGCAATGTTTTCTGTGTTTAGCTCATTAACAAGAGGTCTTAATATTTCATAAGAGGTCTGCTGTATAAAATCATTGCCAGAATTTATTTTAGAAAAGAAAGCAGTCTTAATAGTATCTCAATTGGTACAAAATATCTTCAAAACATTATTTTTTAAGAGTATTGAATTTATCAAATCACTTTTTCAGTTCAGCAATTTAAGTTACTACTTAAACAAATTTAATTAAATAGACCAATTGTTGCTGTTGGTACACCCCAGAGTACCACAGATCACGAACCTATAAATATGCACACAATTTGTACTGCTTGGAGATTGGATAGTACATTGGTTAATAGAAGCAGGTATTTGAGCTGCTACACAGAGAAAGTAAATGTAAAATTATTGGACTTTAATTCTACATAAAACATTTCATAAATACATGTTTTTAAATAAAAGCCTGAGGTAACATATTTACCTGCTAGCCATGAAATAATCGATGGGTTAGTGAATTGGGAACCTAGGCACAAAATGTCATTTTGTGCTACATTGCTGACCTAAATAATTATCACTGCCTCCAAAATGGCTTAATAACTGAACTGAAACACTGTGCAGCCCAAAGGAAGCTAAGAGCAGATTAAGTTACTGTAACCCACAGAGATGAATCAACAATAGCAGTCCTTAGAGGCGTTGGCTTCTGTTCTGCAAAGCTCCAATTAATGTGGCATTAAATTATTATGAATCTTCCAGTAACATTGGGATTAGGGTTCTATTAGGAAATGAGATTCTTAATCCTTTCCATTGGGCCTACTTTCCTTTTCAAACACAGTATCTTTCCATTACGAACACCTGAAAAGAAGCAATTTGAGTGTGAAAATGACTGAGCGAAGGAGTTAATGGCCTCCCTTGCTGTTTTCCTGCTCAGATGTATCCTTCCTTGCTGCTTTTCATACATACAAAAAGTTAGGAAATTATATGCTTTTGCTGTGTAAAATCTAGTTTCTGCTGTGAAAACACAGTGATATGGGAACGTTTGTGTATGCCATGTGGGTGAACGCTTTGTAAGCTTCATTAAACACGATATATTTTCAAAGTTTAATAAAAGTTTAATATTATTCATATTGTTTTTTAATTAAAATGAATTAAAAATACAATATGAGTAAGGCTGAACTATAGGTCAATGCTGTCATTAATCAAAAGTGTTTTGGTTTTGAAAGTATTTTTTTTACAATTGGTAAAATCTATTGTTTTTATGATGTATTACAAATTTGAATTACTGTGGCTGCTCTAAAGCTTTGTATTCTTTTTCAGAATGTTTATTCAAAATGTTCAAATTCTGATCATTTCCCACGATTAATTCTCACAACTGTGAACTATGGGGATGGGATCTTTACAATATTTTTTTTTTTAGTGTAACTATATTGTTAAAAGTTCCCTATTGATGTTTTTGCTGTTGGAGAGCTGCTGGCTGTTTTGATGGATTTGAAGTTCTAATGCAACAGCATTAAAAAAAAAACGTTATAGTGTTAACATTGTTGTACTGTATTCAGCCCAAATTTTGAGTTGTTATTTTTATGGAACCTGTATGATAATACTGAGTACTTTATGTTATGGAATGTACAGTCAGTATTATAATGAATGAGTTAAGAATTAGAAAGTAAGTGTGAACCGTTGTGGGTCCTTTTCACATGGCTTAAATGGTATTGTCATTCAATTTGTATTTACTATGATGATTCTAATCTATATTAATTTTGTGTTTTCTATCATCTTGCCAAAACACAATATATTGTGTACATAGTGATATAAAAATATATGTATATATAAAGAGAGAGAGAGACTTTGCATTTTAATTGTGAATGGAAAAGTAAGTTATAGACTTTTGAAAGCAAATATAGATGTATATCTGAACGTGCATTGTATTGTACAGTTTGTATTTAACTGTGTGTGGTGACTTATAACAGCTGAAGTGTTTGACTCTTTTTTTAAAGTATTTGTTATGTACATTTTAATACATTTTGTATTTACTAGTTTATGCTTTTATTGAAGTTATTATGCCAAAAAAAGAAGAAAGAAATAAGAAAAAGCAGACTGGTGTAAAATATTGTTTTCTTAAAATAATCTTTTGAAGGTGACCAGAATGGAAACCAAAAATAAAATAATTAATTTAGGACCTGAGTATATCTGAATAGCTGCTTTCTGTATTTTGAGGAATTATTTCATGTGGAAACAGATTTTTGTTAGATTTCAGACTTTTAGCTTACTGAAAATCTGCTTTTTACATAATTAATTTCTAATATTATAGAGAAGAATCTCATTGATTTCATTGAAATGCATTAGCAAAACAAGGTAAATCTTCCCAATTCTGCCCCTCTCCCCTAGAACTTGCAAAGTGAACAACTTCCACTGTATTTTTTTTATCATTTGGTCCAAATTATAAAACTAATTGTGGTTGATTTAACCAGGTTAGTGAAATCAAGCCTTGATAAGCTGATTTTATTTGCTTCTTTCTTTCTTAACAGTTACAATGAATTACAGCTCATCTATGTTCAGATGAAATTGTTGAGTTTGAAAAAGAAAAGATGGGCATGCCACTAGAAAAAAGCTAGTCTTTTTTGTAAGTCCAAACAAGTGCATTGAACATCTCATATGGAAGACTTTTGACATGGGTCAGTTCTTAAAAGTGGGAGACACTTATATGGTATCCAGGGAATATATATTTTCTGACAGTTATTTCAGTAGTTTATTAAAGGGGGAAACAGAACTGCATTCACAGTACAGTTTCAGATGAAAAGAGGGAAGATTTGTTTATATGCTAATGCCAACATGGCACCTCTGAGAAATTGGATTGAGGCTTGTTCACAAAAGGGCTCTTTAATAGTTGTAATATTATCAGCATGCTACCTAGATTTGTAAAGTAATTACTAACTGTATCATTGTTCTTAAACATTTTATTTGTGTGAACCAGGGTAACTGCCCAAGATTCAGATATGCAGACATTCAGTTATGCTGAGGTGTTGGCAACCCCTCTATACTAATACAATTTGCCTTGTTTGTTTGTTTGTTTTAAAAAAAACATTTTTTATTTAGTTTTGAACAAAAACAAACATAAAAAACCATCTTCCATTACAAATTGTAGAAAGTGTGTCGGTTACAGTATTTCCATGCATCTCTTCCATAGTCATCACCTGCTTTTCATATCAAATCATATATTTTAAATTCACATATATTCATGTATATCACGATTATTATATCAATCTTAATTTGACTATAATTGTTTTTACATCCTTTTATATATAATATTCAAAATCTAGAATAGGATTATATGATAACATTCTATTAAATCATCCTAAAATCATCCAATCACAATACATCTTTATAACATATTCTAGATAAAGCTTTTAAACCCCCTCTCATATTCTCCATGTGTTATTTATATAAAATTTCATATTATCAAACTAATATATCTATATGTATTGTTATCATTATTAATTTAACTATAG